TATATATGATTAAATATTTCTTCTTCACATACTTTCTATTTAACCCAAAGGAAAGTCAGTTTATCATAACAAGAAACTTAAAATCAGGTATATAAGAAAATACTGAAAAGACTTTTCCAATTTTCCTGGTGCTTTGCATAATACTGGCAACATTTTTAAAGATCTAATTTTTTTCATTAAGGTTAAGGTTTCAAGAAAATTTCAAAATTCGAATATTAAGGGTCAACTATTACTGGTCCTTGACCAAGCAGTCTCAAAAACATGTGAAAACGTTTTTGTTCTTTCTCCCATTAATTTTAGTGGATATGGTATTTAATCTTCAGTTTTTGTTACAAAAATGGTCAAAACACTTGCATACAATAAGGATGGTCATCGTGGAATAACCTGCGTAATGAACACTCGTCGAAAAATGCATTTTGAGATGTTTAAGTCTGTAAGATGTTAAGTCTGTTTTGAGATGTTTAAGCCGATTTTTATTAACTGCAGGTGGTGAGGTTTTCCATGGATGGTGTTTTCTACACTAGGGAGCGCTGCAAGCTCTTGACTTCCTATAAGGTTACTGTTTTTGGTGTGCTTTGAAACCATTTGGCTCACTTCTTGATCTTAGAGACCCTCTTGAATAGTATTTCTTGTATACGTTTATTTTCTACCCGATTTATTATTTGTGTTTAAAAGAAGAATTGACATTTGAAGACTTCAAGACGCAGGAATTGTCATAAGCACTTCTTACCTTGTTAACACTACATCAACTTCGAACTTTAAACCTAAATGATGATTTGTAAAATGAACTTAATTTAACTGCTCAAACAATATACTATAACTAATGTATGATGGTGCAAGGCTTGCATCAAGAACAAACAGTAATAAACAAGTAAAATTAGGCCTAATCAGAACTGCAAAAAAAAAAAAAAANAAAAAAAAAAAAAAAAAAAAAAAAAAAAAAAAAAAAAAAAAACGAGTTCTTCCTAAATCTAGCAATGACATTACCTTTTTTTAGCAATACATCGCTAAATAACAAAAATAAATTTTCAATTCAAACTCGGCAGAATTACTTAATATCATTGATATCTTCAGAAATATATCAGATTTGAGCTCAACAATTACATAATTTATTTATTTTATTATAAACAAAACTGTCTGTTTGAAAATATCGCCTCACAGAATAAGCTGTCGAGAGTCTGTATACTTTCTTACCGGAAGTGGAGCAAGTCAAGAACTCGTGATATTTAAAACACCGTCTCTTGGTATAAAGGAAGGAAGAACTTACCTGCCGAAGTTTTCGCAAGTTTCCATTTATCCCCGTTGCCCGAATCAAACTCGCAATTGGGATCACCTGCACGAAAATCACACAAATAGAGAAGGTTTTTATCCTTCGGATAAATTGGAGGACTGCTTGACAATCCTAGTAAAAAAAATATATATATATACATATATTTTTAATAATTTAGTTTAATAAATTATTTCCAATTGAAAAACCTTTCTGCCTATCAGAAATTGCTTACAAACAGCTGATTACAAGAAGGATGGACAACATCGTAAAACCAGATATGCATAGCATGCACGAGTGCGGAATTTTAGAAAGAATGGAAAAATTTACCCCGACCCGCCCTTATTTAGGGCATACGGGTAAATGTTTATTAAAATAAAAAATACAGAAAACAGTACAAACATAAATTACATATCGAACATGGCAAACAGCCCTTGAACATGGCGGGCGCAGAGCAGCAAAAATCATGTAAGGTGATAAAACATTAAAACAGCAATATATTAAAAATGTCAGTTGAAAAAACAATTTAAAAGAGAAACATGCAAAATTTACAAAAGAACATAGTATAACATATTAAAACAGTACTATTAAAACTAATCAAATAGTACAGAAGTAATTACAATAAAATTGGAGCAAGTAGAAGTAGAAGAGTTTATAAAAGACGTAGTAAAAGTTACAAAACTATAAATATACTAAGAATAAGGTAAAACAGGGTAAGTTAATAACTAATTCTGTATTGTCAAAAAACTCACCAAATTTAAAGAAATATATGCTGGTGTATACAATAATCACTATAATTTTTTCAAAAGATTAAAAACTAAAAAAAAAAAGTAATGAATTTTGAACAAATAGTGTCGAAATTAGGTCCGGCGAAAGTGTTGAAATGAGTGATTGCGAAAAGTGTTCAAATGGAGATTTTGTGTCCGCAGAAAGTTTTTCCTTTTATCTGAGTATGACTTATTAATGTCCAAGCAGGGCATCTGTAAGCAATTACTTTGGAGTTATGTTAACAATATTTGCCTATTTTTTAAATCTTAAGTGTTAATCACATTCGAAGTTATCAATTGAATTGAAACGCCAATTCCCTAAAAAAAGTTTTTATTTATTTATTTTTTTTACACCACCGCAAAGTGTTGCATTAATGTCGGTTTAAAATGTGTTAAGTTGCCTACATTTTTTTGTTATTTCCACAAAAAATTATTTATATCCTATTATATACAGTGCTCAAAATAAAAAACTGATCATCCTGAATAACTTTTGATCGGATCTTCATCTTCTACGACTCAATCTTAATAGTTTGAAGGATATGGTAATTAATTAGTGCAGAAGATATTTTAAGTTAGGCAATCAAGCACAAAAACGTACTTTCTTTGAATAAACATACCTTTCTTTCTCCGGATTCAAACCCCCGAGGCTTGGGGATAGCCGCAATCTGGGAAATAGGGTCCGAATAGTTTAGTCAGGAGAGCAGTCAAAAGTATGTTAATTTTATTGTTTACGTATTACACCATATCTGGCAGATTAGTTAAGCGAATCGAAATTTTTTTACTCCACACAATTACAAAATTCATTTAGCCAAAAATTACTCTGTGTAAAAAAATAACTTGTAGTGAGTATTTACTATTTTTTTTATTATTATTTTATTTCATAATGGGAAAAATTTTGAATAATAAGATATGCAATTATTTGCATCGTTAAAATAGAATGTAATTTTACATAGGAAAATACAAAATGTGAGCGAAATAGGTTGAATAGTTCCTGCGAAATTAAATTTCAAAAATGTCTAATACTATTTCTCTACTGCCAGTTCTAAATTTTGTTGTACTGTTTTTGAATATCACTAAAGAAAGATCGACCCAAAATAGTCAATTAGTATTAAGTTCGAAAATAAAAATCAAAGCTATAATTTACGGGTTCCCTTTTTACAAAATGGAATATTCGATGATTACTTAAATATAAAATAAGAATAAATAAATAAAGACTCACGGCAAAGCCCGGGATACGTTTTTCCTTGGCAAGTTTTATCACAGCATGAATTTTTTGGACATCCTGTACAACGCCTTCCTTCCTTATATAAAGGGTTTTTTATCATGTTTCCCCTAAAAATAGATAAAATATTTAGAAATTTCTATAAACTTTAGAGGTTGTACGCTTTCATTGGTTTGAAATTAATAAACTGACTATTTCTTTGCTGTTGAAAATTGAAAACTTTTTTTAACAATTGTTCCCAAAACTCCTTAAAGTGGACGGACGAGACTGTAGACTAGGAGTTTAAGTCGAGGGCCAAAAAAATGTGCTCGATTCAGATTATTGTTAGTTAAAGGTTTTCAGATCCTATTAAAGAAAAAAAAAGATGTTTGGTGTTGCGGAAATTACTCAGACAAATATTTATGATTATGTGGAAAAAATAATACTCAAATGAATATTATGAAAATTATTTACATTTTAACTTACCAAAACCTTAACTTATCACATTTGATAGTTTTTGAGCTAATGAATGATTTGTTGAATTATTGATTTCATAGAATTATTATATTAATAAATAAATTTATAATAAGTTGTCTTTTAAGTCACAAGTTCCAAAATCCAATTTATTTAGCTAAGCTGATATTTTAATTAAATAAATGTGCAAATAAATATGATGTCTCATTGAGTGAATCATGAATATTTACTGAACAATTTATTTTTTTTGTCATAAAACGTTTATCTAAGTGCGAGTTTGCTTGTGAGATATTGATATGTAGTTTTTTTCTCCTTGTAATAGTTTTTTGTTCGATTACAATATTTTGCACAAATAAATTTTTTCAATTTTTTTAGTTGGGAGCAGTTTAAACAAGTGAACAAGTCGGAGTCACCCCGAAAAATCCGGAGTCGAACACCGACTAAAGTTCCGCAGACAGATTACGCATTTGTTTCATTCATTCCTTAACAGTAGGAATTCTACAAGAGTTTTAGAGAAGGAAAACATTACACTTTACTTACTAATTTACGTGCTGAAACTAACCTAATTACTTTACCATCTTTTTTATTTAACTTACATAACTGAAACTAATTTATAAAGGAGAGTCCGAAAATGAGTTCCCCCCTTACGACTGTAGACATAGTATTCCAGGCCAAAAATATAATGATACATTAAAGAGCTACTTCCACATAATTAAGAAGATCCTTGAGACAAAGACCCTCCAATAAAAAATCAGGGCTCTGCCATAACGGTTTGTGTGTCTTTAGCATTGCTTAAAAATCACTTTCATCTGAGATTCTGCCCGGTATAGCCCGGTTGGCAGGACATAAGACTCACGTTTCTGAGAACGGGAGTTCGAGTCCAGCCGGCCGAAGACTCCCAGTGTAGTAAATGGTGACTAATGCACGTTAAATCTGACGGGTCACAAAGTCCTCCATGTCTAAATCCCCCCAAAAAGGACAACAATAAAACTCGGTACAAGATGTACAGGTACCTGCTCTATCATGATCGAATGACATACAAACTTTGTTTGATTTCCTGGGAGGGGGGAACTTATTTTCTTACTCTTTACTTTGATTATTATACTTACCTCGGTCCGTAGTCGCAGACATAAAACTGTTTAATGCCACCGTCATCTTCTTTGTAAGCAACATAACCGCATCCAACCTTATAGGTTTCCGCCCACGTTAACTGCAGTGAATAAAATTGGCTTTTAAGAATACTTTATAATTATTAATGATAGTAAAAATGTTACAATGATTGGAAAAAATATGTACAGAGTGCAGTGCACAAGTCTGTCGTTTCACTTATTAAAATGAACTTTATGTTATGTGCAAAACCATAACAGTGAATTAGCGCACGTTCGTTCTAGTATGCTTCTGCACATTGATGACGTGCGATTGCTGATGCAAACGTATGGCAATTTGCTTCAAGTATGACATTTGTTCCCGCTCGCTCCCTCAATGTCCGGTCCATCATCTAAGTACCAAATAAGTGCTCAAGTACACATATTTAAAAATACTACTTTTTTATATTTGCATCACTCAGAAATCGAAGCAGGACATTTCGGTACTTTCCTTGCTTTTTCTCTTTTAGATATTAAAATTTAAAACATTTTACCCACTATGCAACAAATTCCAGTGTAATTGTAATTTCATAAATTTTTGACTGCTAACATTTTGTCTCTTTTCAACGTAGGAACTATTTGAAACCAGATTTCACCTCGTGGAGGTGTTCAATACAACAATCCTTATTTATTTATTTATTTACTTACTTAATCCATTAATAATACATTATAATATAATTACATAAATAATGGCAATTTATTTTTGGACTTTCCATGTTCGGGGATGGAGATGTTGTTCTCAAACAGTTAAGTAATTCATAGAACGGGAAAAAGGAGTTAAAAACAAAACTCAATTTTCTCCTTTCCATACTTTTAAAAACTTACTAACCATTAGATATCCCTTGTTTTCTATCACTTGAAATAATAAATAAATAATTGAATAAACTAAAAGAAAATTATATTTAGAGGCCATTGAAACATAATGAGTGTAATAAAAGAAATAAGATCGAATGTCTGTATCTAAAATGGATGAATCGACTGAAATAGCATCGAAACAGCAACTGGATTGGAACTTCATGGACCGCTCAGAAACTATTTGACCTATTTCGTTCTATTTTCTCATTTAAAATGACATAGTTTAACGGTATGTCAAAATATACACACATATTTTTGAGGATTATTAAATTAACCCATACAAAATAATAAATAATTATAAAAATTAGTTTTAGATTAAAATGATTTTTAAATGAACGAATTTTAAAACTGTGTGGAAAATAATTCTCTTAAATAGTTCCAGAGATGAGAAAAAATAAACATCAAGAGATTTTAACTTTTCACCGCTCTGCTAAGTTAATTATTATCAACATATTTTCCATTTTGCAGGTATCCGTATACTTAGAGGTTCAAAAATTAAGAAAGGTATATTTATTCAGAAAAAAAGAATAGATTTCTTAACATCTTTCTTAATTCTTTCTGGAGAAATACCTTCTCCAGAAAGTTATTTGCAAATTAAAGGTTATCCCCTAGAACTTTTATGATTGAAGTCTGACTGTAGGATCAAAAGAAATTAAGACTTTCCATTTTTTATTTAACCCTCTTTTCTATCGTTTTCGTCGTTTGAAAGTTAGAAAAAAAATTATCATCTCTGATATCAACGTAATTAAAAATATTTTGGGAGTTATTCATTGTGTTGCATTCAGCTCTGAAAAAAACTACTAGAAATGAAACTATTTAATAATAATACTTTTATTTGATCTTTTGAATAAAATAAAAAAAATAACAGTTTACCTGAGTGAAATGAGTTGTAACTGCACCCGTGTAATTTAATGCCGGTACAAATCTTTTGTGAAAATCAGCTACTTCACTGTACCAATCTCCAACTACATCGTACCATTCTGTCTTCCTTATTTCACACTTGCCTTGGCAATAGTATTTGCTGTACGCCATGTTCTGCCCAACACCGAAGCCTCCTAATTAAGGAACAGATTATTTTTGGGGGGTACGCAGATAACATCGGCGATCTTGTTAAAAGAAAATGCGTACAATTTAATCTGGTTAAACAATGCGAACGATATTATCCAGGCATGAAACAGAATAACTGTTCAATAGTTCAATGAAGTAAAATAACCGTTCAAAAGTTTGATATCTCTGCACGATTGTGCATATAATACTTATTGGTGCTGTAAGGTACGAATGAGTGGTCACAGAATCAAGCAAAAATAATTACATTTTAATATAATCGGGGTATGTCCCTCTCTTACAACGTGATTTTAGTCTAGAATTTCTAATTACCTACTATGGGCAATTTAGAATGCAGTATCGCCGTAACTTACCTATGGGCGATAATTCATTCCACTCCTTCAGCAGTGCTGTTCTCCGATCTTACCCAAGCAGCAAAGTAACTCAGGCCCTCATTGGACCAATATCCACGAATCTGGGCTCATTAAGGGTTCAAAGGGCCTTTATTTTCTGATATTGGACCTAGTATATAGAATTATCCGATTCACCCGATATTTTACAACCAATATCGGCCTTATATGGAATCGTCAGATTCACCTGATATTTTATATACATTATTCAGCTAATCTAGGTCTTATATTGGCCCTGTGTAGGACCAATATCTAGACATTCCAATATCGGTTCATATAGAGGGCCCATATTGAGCCATCTCCATCAGTCTAAAGAGACCTGAATAGTTTCATTTTCCAGAAAATAGACAGTTAGCGGAGCTTCCTGTGTCCCCGTCCGTAAGAAAGATATCAGGGCAAACTACTTTTCTGTAAAGCGATCTTATACATCGAAATAGAAAAAGTGCTTCTCTCAAAAATATTTATAAATCAGACTATTCAAATCTCCTCTGGCATAATACAGAGTTACCCTCTTGAAAAGAGCACTCTTCATTTGGTTCCATAACTGGACCAAGAAAACTACAACCTGAATCCAATACAAGTAACTGTATGTCCAAATACTGGTGTGCAAAAATTAAGGACGAAATGGAAAAACTAGCTTAACAACAAAACACGCAGTTACAACGCAGGGAAAGATTATTCACGGTAAGGTAAAGTAGATATATGCACCGTGACGTACCCGGGGGAGTGTTAAGTACGAGCTGGCTGTGGGAGCTTAGTATTTCCGTGAATGGTATTGCACGGTATACGTCAGTTTAAACGAAGTGAATTTGTTATATGGCTAACAGACAACACGGATGGCGATATCTGGATAAGTTTACGCTAGGGCGATTCATTGGGAAGTTGGAAGAAGGTCGAAGTGAAGTATGACCAGTGTGGCTGCAGAGTTCGGAATTGCCCACTGTATCATTTCACGAGCATGGAAAACATCTCATAGGACAGAAGCAGTTGCCCAGAGGTTTGAGGTCGTCCTCACATAACCACGGCAGCGGACGATCGGTATATAGTCCTACAGGCTAGGAGAAACGGACGGCCGACTACAGGAGAAATCGCTAGGCACACATAGCGAAGTACTGAACGCCCGATATCGCGTTTCGCCGTGGCCAGGAGACTGAACAAGGGTGGTCTATTTGCACAACGGCCAGAGCGGTGTGTTCCATTATGTGGTGCCGGAAACACAAGAACTGTCGAGTACTCTTTACGGATGAGAGCAGATTTCGTCTGACCAGTGATTCTGGACACATACACGTCTGGAGAAAGCGAGGAACAATGCAATAAACCCTCCAACATCCTCAAAAGAGATCGATTTGCAGGAGTTTTTGCATGAGGCGGTATCATGCTTGATACCCGTATTGATCTACACATCGTCCAAGGTAGTTCAGTCGCTGGTGCCCGCTATTGTACCGAGGTTTTTCTTCCTCATTAAAAATTGGCTGGTCCATTCATAGCGTTAAAGAATACCTCAGACCTTTGAGATGCTACAAATGCAACACGTATGGGCATATGGCAAAAGACTGTCTAAACCATGAAAGCTAGCTGTGCAAACTGCGGTGAGGAGGGGCACAAAATGAATGAGTGCAAGAAGGAAAGTAAGTGCATTAATTGCGATTCTGCAAACAAAAAATATGGCTCCAAATTTAACACCTATCATCCTGCAAATATAAGATCGTGCCCCTCAAACCAAAGAGCAATAACGGTATTAAAATCAAGAATTTCATACTAAACCCAATTTTTGTGAGCCGACTTTGGCGTCCTTCACCCCTCCCTGGGGGCTTTCAAATTTGTAACACATTCTTTTGTTTTATTTCTAAGGCCGCCAAGTTGGATGTCATTTCTTTGATTGTATTTTAAGTAAAGTCCTGAGTGGTTTTTAGAATCTTCCAGTCGGAGGATGCCTTGAGGGGTCGTGGAGCGGTGGCTGGCTCTCTCGGTGCCACACTCTACTTGAGTAGTCTGCAGCTGAGATTGGCACCGCCGCACCGACTTGGGGTTCGTCCCCCTTCGGCATCCTTTATCCGTCGACGACGTAGTGTTGCTATTACGTGTGTGACTCAGGGCCATGGACCCTCGAGTGTCCATGCACCGCCGGCTCCGCCGTCTGATAGAGTATCTTCGCAGTGATAGGCCATCAAGTATACTCCGGATGCCCCAAATCGGGGCGGGACGGATTAAGCCTAGCTTCTTCATGTACGTCTTTTTAAAGGTACTGTGGGTTCTGAGTTCATCTTCATGGACGGTAATACTACACCTCATCGTACAGTGGCTGTCACAGAACTGTCGGAGAGTAAAGATATTGCTCACATGGAATGGCCGATGAGGTTCCTGAATTGTAATCCGATTGAACATTCGTGGGACACACTAGGGACACGCTTGACAGAACGTCCCCATCCGCCAGCAACAATTCGGCAGCTACGATTAGCACTAAAACAAGAATGGGCAGCAATTCTTCAAGAGCTTCTTAACAACCTGGGCAGACGATGTCAATCTTGAAATACAAACAGAGATGATTATATCCCATACTAAAGGCTGGAATTTCCTCGTCAATCCTGTGTAACAATGACGTTTTGGTCATTTGTACAATTGTGTTTTAAGCCTATTTTTCAAATAAAGTTCCTTATTGTTCCCGTGGATTACATTTGTTTAGTTTCTCATATCATATTCTTGAGGAATATTCTCATATCATATTCCTATGGTATGATTTTTATCGATTTTCAACACTACTGTTCAAACTTCGAAAAACCACTTAATTTTTGCACACCAGTGTATTTGCAAGAAACCAACTCACTCCCCGCTTCATCTACGCCGGTAAAAATTAAACTTAGTGAAATGGAGGAAAATAGGTACCTCGCCGAAATAGAACCACTTCTGATTATAGCCGAAATTCCCGCCATATTTATGTTTGACTTACGATGTTGCATAGCAGTTTCTAGAGGACATTAGCATCAATATTATGTCAGGTTTCAATGATAGCAATTCTGCCTCAGACTAAAACTGCTTCTTTTTAGCAAATACTGAGGTACAACCTCACATTGTTTGAGGGATTGATAACTCAATTTAGAGATCCCAAAATGTTTTAGTGTACTAAATAAATTAAGTTTTCTATTCCATTGGTATAATATTTAAACCTAATAATTTTTCTCAATTTCCATTGCAAATTCATTTTAAGAAAAAGTTTGATTTCGCATTTAATTTTTGATTACTATTCACTCGTTACACGTTTTTCACCAAAAATATTATTTTGCGAAAAGTTAACACATTCGTATTCATTATTGATCATGTGTGACTGGTCATAGTTTTACAGCAAAAATAACTTATATACTGTTTAATAATTCTAAAACAGTTGGTAAATGTAAAGACCATTTCAAATATGTTTATTAAAAATGTTGCGTTAGGGTATTACTTTATGGATGGTTGAGCGTGTAAAGCTAAGCGAAGATGGTGATAGGGGTAAAAATTCGTCGTGAGACTTCCGACTGATTTTTACACCCAAACTTGAACAACATCCATTAGCATTATACTTTCCAATATAACGCCTTCTTTCAGTCTAACTTTCAACGAAACAAATGAATTCTTCGCAAGCATGCTATGATATTACCCAAAAAATAAAAAACGTGCTATTTTACACAAATATTTTAATTTATAACCGTCGTTGAACAGCCGACCCAATTGTATGGATTTACGACTGCTAATGTTCAACTCCGTAGCCTTGTCATTTTGAACCCAATCCAGATGACAAGAAAACTCCTGGATGAGGTAAAGGGAGAAATTTGCCTTCGTGGAGGATTTTTTGATGGAACTAACCCGCATGTGCGTTACATGATGAGGAAGACCACGAAAACCTTCCACGGTTAGCCTGACGGCAAGGGAACTCTAACCCATGATCCGTCTACCACTGAGGGTATTTCACGTCAGCGCTGTAGTCGGTGTAAGCCGGAATTCGTATCGACTTGGATACAAACCCGGTTCGCCTCATTGGAAGGCGAACGCTCTATTCCCTGAGTCATCGCGGCTCTTTCACAAATATGGGATAACACTCAAAACATGACACTTTATCTATGCTGTGATATTAATTTTGTTAAAATTGTCTTACGCTCACGACCCGTTAGAACTCTCATATGAATGGTAAAATTGAGCGTAAACAATAATAAAATTTCTTGGAAGCCTGTTCACACATCGCCTCGTAAGCACAGCATAAGCGGAGGGATACACCGGTTTTCGGAAGCTTGTAATCATTTACATTTAGTCAATCATCCATTCTAGAGGCACTTTCATTTTGCATAATACAATCAAAATCTAAAAAAACAATATAAAGAATTAATGAAAATTACTGATAAATACCGTTTAAAAAAGGGACAATAAAGAAATAACAACTAAAGATATAAGAAAATCATACTTCTTGGACAATATAAAGGCGTCGACAACAATGAAAAATTATACTATATTTAATTATATTATATGTTCATTATATATTTAATTCTAACTTACTAACTGATCGACAAGCAGCACAGTCATGATTATAGTTGCATTGCTCCGCCCACTTTTGCGCAATTTGAGCAAGTTCATTGTCCCATGCCTGCAAATGTGAGAAACATTAGGTGAATTTCAGTGAGAGTTTTTTAAACAATGAAAAAGTATAATGAGATTTTGTGTATTACAAGAACTTTTATTCAATGTATACAACGTAGTTTAACAAAATGTAAATGTAAATAAATGGTGTAGATCTCCATAAATACCAAATAATCACTAAAAAGTCCGAAAATAAAATAGGATCCTTTGATATCTTATGAGTAAAATGTTTCGATTCATCACAATTGTAATGTAATAAGTTTAAAAATTTATTTTTTCACGCAAGTTTGCTAACTAATTTTATAATTGCATACAAAATGTTGCAGATTCGCACAAATTATAAAAATAATTTGTGCCTAAAAACATAAAAAATAAAGGTAACTTCAAATTTTCAAAAGACTTGAAAACACATGTCTATATTTGTCAAAAACCATTTTTTCCAGAATGTTAAAAAGCATCGCTGCGACTGCCCGTCGTAAGCCAGGAAGAGATCACGAAGTTCAAGGCTTATTTTATTTTTATTTTTTTTAAAATCAAAATCATGATTTCATCATTTAGTCACCGACATTGAACAGCCGACCCAATTTTGAGTTTACGACTACCCATTTTATTTCCGTAACCCAATTTTGAATCCAGTCCAGAAGACAAGGGAACTTCTGGATCAAGTATTGGGAGAAATTTGCCTTCGTGGAGGACTTTTTCATGGAACTAACCCGCATTTGCGTCACACGGAGAGGAAAACCACAAAAGCCTCCACTGGTAAGGCTGGCGGCAAAGGGACTCAAACCCATGATCTGTCTACCACTGAGGATATTTTACGTCAGGACTGTGGTCGGTGCAAACCAGATGCGGAATTCGTATCTACCAGCCAGTGCTGGAATTCGAACCCGGTCAATTCATTGGAAGCTCTATCCCCTGAGCCATCACAACTCTGAATCAAGTATTTGGAAAAAATTGCCTTTCATGAAAGACTTTTTGATGGAACTATCCCGCATTTGCGTAACTGAGTGCCGAAAATCTCCAACGGTTAGCCTAACGGTAAAGGGAATCTAACCCATGATCCATCCACTGAGGATGTTTTACTTCAGCACTGTGATTGGTGCGAGCAGAGTGCGTATTGACCAGTCATCGCTGAGCAATTACTTCTGTTTGATCGTCAGATCGATCTGGAGCTTCGAAACGCCTCTCAGAGTATCTTCTTTCAGAATATTAATATTTTCGAAATAATAGTAAAGAGTATTTCTAGTCTTTAAATTAAAATAGTCAAAGAAATTTGAATTCTGAAGGGGAAAAAATTGGTGAACTGTAGTGATTGCTGGACCAATAGACGTAACAAAAAAATCATTAATAAAGATTTAAAAAAAAAAAAAAAAAAAAAAAAAAAAAAAAAAAAAAAACGTGTCTGAGATGGAAAAAAAAAGAAATTTTTCACATGAAAGTTTTAAACTCCCTCAGAAATATTATAGTGCCGCTTTGTTTAAAAAAAAAATCCTGAAGACACAGTTTAGGAATTTTAAATTTCCTGTAGCAACAACCAAACCTTGATAAAGAAGCATTGGGATGTTATCAATGCAAATTTATATTACCAATTCAAGCATATTAGAGGCTTCCTTAAGTCCGCCAGCTCTTGTTTCACTTCCGGTAGCTATCTTACTTCGGTAATCATTGTGGGCTTTCAGTATCTCGGCTATCTCAGCTTTTTGGTCTTGCAGTCCCCTGGTGACGAAAGAACACTGAGTATTCGGAGGTTTGCAGAAACTGTGCTCTTGGCTCAGTCTTCTGTACTTATCTGGACAATTCTCTTTGGCGAGAGACTGCAGTACCGATGCCACAATAACTAAGACTCTGATCATCTGAAATATTTGAGATCAGAAAATAAAAATTTTAAAGATAATGAGTGAAAAATTTTGAGCGTTGACTACAATAAAGGTAGGTAGGTGTTTTATTTACGTCGCACTAGACCTGCACAATGGGCTATAGGCGACGGCTGGGAAACATCCTTGAGGATGATTCAAAGATATTTCATCACAATTTTGATCCGATGCAGAGAGAATCCCTGCTTTGGTAGCCCGATGACCTGCAAGCGAAGTCGAGCACTTTACGGTAGAACAGTTTAACGAAGACCGATACCGCGCACCCTCGATCTCTACGCAGGCTGATCAAAGTGGTCTCCCACCCGCTTACTGACTGCAACCAGTGATGCTTGACTTCGGTATTCTACCGGGAACTGTGTCTTTACGATCAGTCCACTTCGGGACGCTACAATAAGGAGTCCGCTTAATGAGCACACATTCAAACTGTTCTAAAGCAATTCTTTCTTTGTATCAAAATATATTATCAGATATTGTATTGTAACTTTTGTGTATAACTTTGTGTTTTGTGTGTAACTTTTGTATTGTATTGTATTTAAATTTAGGAAAGAAAAAAATACATGTCACAGTAAAAGATAAAAATGAAAAGGAGTTTTACTCTTCTGATCAATATGTAACCTAATATCACGTAACAGTACAATTTGGAAGAAAAAAATTTCTCTCGTTAGTTTTTAGTATTTTAAAAAATGTCGATATGAATGCTAGGATTATCTTATGATATAGATCTGGCAACGTCAAACCTCTCATTCGTATTTTTAATATATTTATTCTTCATTTTTAATTACTTTTGACATGAACTTATAAAAAGAAGATCTCGAGGGAGATACATTTTTCTACACCAGTGGATAAATATTCATTGTTTAAGACAAAACGTTTGAAAAAAATCACGAAACAGCAATTAAAATTTAAATAATTTTCGAATAATTTGGAATTTCGAAAAAAAAAACTCTCGTTGAGTTTATTAATGAAAATGACCTTTTCAGAATGCAGAATTTCAACTCTGATGTTGCTTTTCAGTGGTCTGTAGATCAGCCCGCATCTTTTATTTTTATTACAAGTTTAATAGTAAATAATTTTCAAAATAATCAAATTTAAAATTTAAACTAATGATCAAATTTAACATTTTTTATTCCAACGTACACCTCGTATATTTTTCTGCACACTTTCATACTCTCAAGTTTCTAAGTCTCATAGTTTTTGCGCAACTAAACAAAATGCACCGTAAAGAAAATAAGTGCGAAAAAAGGGAGAAATAAATCATCTTAGATTATAGATTTTTCAAATGAATACAAAAAATGCACTTGAAACTGCAATAACCTTCAAATAAGTTGAAATTTCGAAAAAAAGCTCAAAAAATAAAATTTCTTTTTCAGCATTTCAGATGNCTAAATGTTATTTTTGGTACCTTAATATAATAGTTTAACCATATACCTTTAAACACCACCATTTAATAAGATGTTAGGGAAAACGAAAAGTAATGTTGTTTCGGTGCATTTGATATTTGTTATCAAGACTTTATTTTTAATCAATAATGTATTTACCCTTGTTAGCCACAACCTTTCAATGCCGGATCAAAATTGAATCGAAAAAAAATGAATTGGTTTTTAAGATTAACGAATATTTAATGTGCCGAAACGATATTACTTTCCGGTCCCCCTCATATTAATTCCGCAATTACGTTTTTCGCGACTTACAGAGCAAACAGCAGTTATTACAGTTCTTAATTCTCTAACTAATTATAGAATGAACACTCAAAACAGTGGCATTTACGATTTTTTAATGCAAAGTCACTATAAAATCTTTTCTTTAAATAAAGGGCTCTTTAAATTTGATTAAAAATAAGTTTTAAAATCAACTTTAAAATGAACACATAACATAAAAGCTCTCCATTTTTAAGTCAAGGTTTATCAACACTTACCATTTAGTTCATACAAAAGACGAATTGTAGAACGAATCGATACATTTTATATTAATATCGGAACATTTTTGGCCTTTGCAAAGACATTCAGATGTCAAAGATGGTAACGAGATAATAAATTGAAAATCTTGCGCGCATTAAAGATGACATGTGTTTCCACAAGAGATGTGTATGCCGAAAAGGTAGGATTAACATTAGAATGTCACATTTGTTCTACGCCTTTTGTGTTCGAAAAGAAACACTTGTAAACGAGACTATGATAATACCGCCTGTGATATATAATATAACAGCCCGAAATATAAACGCTAACAGTAGAGAAAAATAAACAATAGAATATTAACATCTTGCCTTTTCATTAAACTGTATCAAAATTTTGATAAAGTAGTTAGAAAACTGTATCTTCCATAAATAACATTTTTTCCAGAATACTCTCTTAAAAGTTGTGACCACTACTTACTTTTCGAAGAGCCTATGGGGATTTTAACGAGAATGATGCGGCGCGTCCTGAGTTTGCATTTTTAAAATGTATCTATCGCCAAAAACAAAAATGAAGCTTCTACATTAAACTTTGACTTTTAATAAAAATTAAATGGTGTTTTATTAAATTAATCGAGTTTTGAAAATGAATCGTGTATTAACACCGTGTACCTAAAATTATAAACCTAAATAGAATTATAGAGAGTAGAGCAATAGAAAAGAGAAAGAAGAAAATAAAACGGAAGAATTTGTATTAAGTTTATAATGATTAGGATCTATGCTTCTCGCTTTTACTCTCTCTCTCTCTGTCTCGAGGGTTGTTGTTGTTACTTTACGTCGCACTAGAGCTGCACTATGGGTTATTGGCGACGGTCTGGGAAACATCCCGGAGGATGATCCGAAGACATGCCATCACCCCAGACCTTATGATGTATCTAAAATGCCTAACCCAGAAAGGAGAAATTATATTTCTTCCTTACAGCGCACGAGGAAGATTTTATTGCATATCAACCCCTGAAGCTCATACAATAAATCATGTGTATCTTTTATCCAATTTGCTACGTGTCACTACTTTACCAGCTCTTGTTCGTATCATTGTTGGTCCAAAAGCAAGCGTTGCGTTGCCCTTGACAAATATTCTACAACTTGATGAAATTCGACGTGAGACAATAATTCTTGGTTGTACTATGATTGATAATGAACCAACTCTTCTTGAAATAAATGCTAGCTCAGAGTTTTCTTTTATTAGAGTGAAAAACGAAGCAGCCGTTCAGATGTCAGAGGCATATCAGCGTATGTGTCATATGTGTGTAACAGAAGGAGACAAATGGCGACAGCAAATACGAGTGGCTCATTATGTAGTACCTAAAAAAGAACCATTTAAAATGATTTCAAAACTTCCATTTATGCCTCCTGGTTTTATTCCATATGGTTCAAATAGACTCCGCTCAAACAAAGAACAAAAACAAATTCTCCCAGAATGTGACTTTATTGACTTTTGTCGGCAATCCGGCCGGGAGAGTATATTTCCTAAAAGATTCTGGATGTTTCGACGATCAAGAAGATATGAACCATCAAAAAGGAGCGAAAGAAGTCATCGAACCAATTTTGATGTCATCAGAGGATATTATACAAAAGGCAAAAGTGGACGTAGTATGATTTTGAATTTGCCCTATCGAAGTTCTTTAAGAATTATTAAAGATACAAAGAAGGATTCGTTAAGACGAACAAGCTCAGATGATGGATATGCTACTTCATTTATGGAAGACGAATCAATATATAATTCAATTTATTAAGCAACATATTATTTATTGAATATATACAACATATTCAATTTATTACGCAACATGTTATTTGGTGCAATTTTAAAATCCTTTTTCACAAATTTATGTCATGTTTGACATTTCCCTTCTAAGCTTTCATTAAGTTCTCGTATTATTACGGCTCACTTGATGTATAAATGCCACAGCCAGTAGACTGCACAAAAGCCATTGGTTTTTGCTGTTTAGTACTACTGTGCTCCGTCTACAAGCACACTTTTCATTTTGAAAATGTACTTTCTGCATTTATTCATTACATTTTCATATTTGTATATTTTTTGAATAAAATATATTTCAATTTCGTTTCATTTTTGAAAAATCATTTTTGATAAACCAGTGAGCTTCTTACATTTACCTATTAACAGTCAGCGTTCCCATGAAATGTTTTCTAGAAATAAAATACTAGTCATATAGTAGTAATACTAGTAAAACTAGTAAAATACTATATTATTCTTGAAATTTTTCAGATGGAATTTTTTCTAGAAATAAAATACTAGTCATATACTTCTAACACTAGTAAAACTAGTAAAATACTATATAATATTAATAAAATACTACATCATTCTTCAAATTTTTCTAAGAGAAATAAGACATTTATTTCGTGTCATAATATATAAGTAAAATAAATATTTATATTTTGGTCTGAAATTATGTTATTGTGATATCTTGAAACTCATAAAATATAGCCAACACTAAAAAATACCAAATCTAATAATAAACCCCTAGTACTTTTTCCGTAAAAGTACTTTAATGACAACAAACTGGAAAGAGGTTAAAGTTAAATTTTAATGGTACAGTTGTGTAAATGAAAAAAAACAACTTAAATTATACTTATCTCACCTTTATTACTATGTGAAAACTCCACATAGAATTATATAAAATTGTTTGTCGGCTATTACAGGCTAATAAACCAATGCTAAACACTTAACTATTTCCAATTTTGATTAAACTAAGCACATATATACCTGGACTTAGCAAATTTTCTATCCAAACAATTAAAAATTGCGAAAACTAAGGGAGTTTACTAAAGTAACATTTTATTTTTATTGCATTTTTTTTACCGGTCTTAAACAGCAGACTCAATGGTGAGTTTATAACTATCAATATTCAACTCCATAGCCTTGTAATTTTGAATTCTACCCAGAGGATAGGGAAACTCCTGGATCAAAGATTGGGACAAATTAACCTTCATGGGGGCTCGCCTTCCAATCAGGTGAACCGGGTTTGAATCCCCAGCGATGGCTAGTCAAAACTAATCCACACCCGGCTTGCACCGACCACAGTGGTGACGTGAAATATCCTCAGTGGTAGGCGGATCATGGATCAGAGTCCCTTTGCCGTCAGGCTAACCGTGGGAGGTTCTTGTGGTCTTCCTCTCCATGTAACGCAAATGTGGGCTAGTTCCATTAAAAAGTCAAATTTTCCCCAATACTTGATCCAGGAGTTCCCTTGTCTTCTAGATTGGGTTCAAAATTACAAGGCTACGGAGATAAACATTAGTAGTCGGAAACCCAAAAAATTGGGTCGGTTGTTCAACGACGGTTATGATATAAAAATACATTTATCGCCTCACTCTCAGGGAGTATTCTGAAAATTTAAACTCACCGGCGCAGGAGTTTCTGCAGAAGGAACCCAGGATGCGACACCCGAGCCTAGTGGTCCGGCTGGGTCACCGCCCATGGCGTTTTTTAAACCAAAATTTCCTTTTGCAAATACTTGATAACAAGCCCAGTAAAAACATCAAGAATATCTCTTACAGTAAAAGTGCTCTCAAAGTACTATTTCCAATAAACTTCAGCCACGATACAGTGCTCAGAATAATACTTAGATGAACAAAAACAGTAAAAATACAGTGAGAAACCCATATGAAAACAATTAGTAAAATTTTATTTTAAATATATTTCAGCTAAATTACTAGACCCCAACACAATGATTGTTTTGTAATGGCTTCTGTAATTTATACCCCCACACAATTTTTTTCTCCAGAAGGCATAGAATTAACTTTAGAAATATATTTCAGAAACTAAATATTTTTTTGAAGAAAAAATGTATTTAGAGTAATTGTAAAACTTAAATCAAAGTTCTCAAACAGAAATCTTTTATTCATTTGTAAAGATTTACCTATACAGAATGCCTTACTTAATTTTTATTTTGTTAATAGTTTTGATTGTTGTTGTTAATTTACGTCGTACTAGAGCTGCACAATGGGCTATTGGCGACGGTCTGGGAAACATCCCGGAGGATGATCCGAAGACATGCCATCACAATTTTGATCCTCTGCGGAGTGGATGGCACCCCCGCTTCGATAGCCCGACGACCTACGCGCGAAGTCGAGCACTTTACGGTAGCACAGTTTGACGAGGACCAATACCGCACACCCTCGGTCCTCACGCAGACTGATCCAAGTGGTCACTGACCCGCACACTGACCACAGCCAGTGATGCTTGACTTCGGTGATCTGCTGGGAACCGTGTCTTAACGATCAGTCCAC